ACAGTGCATGCATGTGAAGATGAAGGCTGACAACACATGTTGTCCTAGAAAGGCACCCAGGCAAGATATGTTGCCAAGATATACCTGTAAGGAACATAGCAGCAGGCACGTAAATTACTGGGTGGGTTTTTATGCCTCGGAAATTGTTGAAGAATATACGTCAATCAAGCAACAGTGGCCATTTCTGGAGAGTGGATTACAAGGGACTTCTACTTTCTAAGTTAGATGTTTTTTGGTCTTTTAATTTTCATCAGTGTGTATTGCTTGTGTAATCATAAAACAAACAAAAAATCAGTTAAGTAAGTAGTTAAAGAAGTCTGAGGAATCTGCTGAAATAGCTGTTGACCAAATAAGGGAGGAGCAGATAAGAGCTGGAACAAAGTTCCAACCACAGGATAGGAAACACCAAAGGGTGGGCACACTCAGGCAGGGAAGGGGAGGGATGTTGGCATCAGGACAAATGCTGGGTGGCAGTGGGCCTCTCAGCAAGGAAGCGGGACACAGGAGACCTGATACAGGCAGGTGTGACCACTGTAGCAGGTGAAGTCAGTGCCCTCCCCTCGTCTCCTGTAGACATCTGCAAATACATCTCATACAAACTGACAGCTTCCTGAATCTTTTGCTCTCTCTGCCTGAGACTGTTCTTCAGCATGATAGTGTCTCCAGGGTGTTCTAGCTTAGGCCAGAAGTGTCAGGGACTTAACACCCCAGGGACCACCCTCCCATGGAGGGATGAAAATGGACCAATAAATATCTTATGTGGTAGGCAGCTTCCAAGATGGCCCCCAATGAGCCCTGCTTCCCAGTATTCACACCCCGGGTAGATCCCTCCCACACTGATAGGGTTGAACTAGGCAATAGGATATTGCAGAAATGACAGTGTGTCAAACCCCAAACCATAAAAGTCTTGCAGCCTCTGCCTTACTCTCTTTTGCTTCACTTGCTCTTTGTGGAAGCCATCTGCTTTGTTATAAGTATGTGTGTGTGTGGTGAGGGAACGAAGGACTCCTGCCAAGAACCAGCATTAACTTGTCAGGCAAGTGAAAGAGCCCCTTTGGAAGTGGATCCTCCAGTCCTAGTCAGATCTTCAGATGATTCCAGCTTCACAAGAGACCCTGAGCCAGAACCAGTCAACTCAGCTGCTCCTGGATTCTTGACCCTCAAAAACGGGGTGATATAATAAATGTTTATTGTTTTAAGCTGCTAAGTTTTAGAGTAATTTGTTATGCAGCAATAGCTAATACTCTCATACACTCCTGGTAGGAAGGTAAAATAGGGTAGCCACTTTGGAAAACAGTTTGAGGGTCCCTCAAATGATTGAATATAGCCTTACCATATGACCCAGCAATTCTACTCCTAGAACACCCAAGAGAAATGAAAACATGTTTACACAAAAACTTGTGCACAAATTTCCATAGCAGCATTATTTATGGTAGTCAAAAGGTGGAAATAACCCAAATGTCTATCAGTGAACAAATGGAGAAACCAAATGTGGTATATTCATACAATGGAATATTATTTGGCCATAAAAAGGAAGTGCAGATACATGCTATAGCTTGACTGAATGATGAAAAGTAAAGTAAGCCAGTCACAAAAATCCATGTATTAATGACTCTATTCATATGAAATGGCCAGGATAGTCAAATCTATAGTTACAGAAAGTAGGGTAGTGGTTGCTTAGGCTGAGGTGGGTGGCGGTGGAGACTGGTGATAGCTAAAGGGGTGGGATTTCTTTTTGAAGTTATAAAAATCTTCTGAATTGACTATGGTGATGGTTGCACGTATCTGTAAACATACGAAAAACCACTGGATTGTAACTTTTAATGGGTGAATTGTATCATATGACAATTATATCCTATTAAAACTGTTTTAAAAAACAGATAATGAATGTACCACAGCGTTCTTTCCCCCTGGTGGGACAACTGTGAGGTATGTTCCACAGAGTCTCTCAGAGGGGTCCCTAGTAGGACTCAACCCCACTTTCCCAAGGCCAGAACTTGCCCGTTAATACACACCTGATTTTCTTTCCTCTCATCTTTGTCTCACTCCTCAACCCCATATTCTTCGAGATCACATCAGATACATGACTTCACCCAATTCTTGTCTCAAGTTTTGCTGTTGAGGGAACTCAAGATAAAGCAATCATGTTCTTCGGGTTGGGGGTCAAGGTCCCCGGGGATGGGGCTGATTCTGAAACAGGGGAAACTGCCCCCTCGCTGACTGTCCAGGGCAAAGGCTTGAATCAAAGTCCAGAATAGTTACAGAGCTGGCCGCCTTCCCCCCAGCACACCGGGCGCGAGCCTGGTATGATTTCTGCCTACCCGCTGACACAGACAGACATACCCTTTCAGGCGGGACTGTTAACCAGGGCCTTTTCCTGCCCTCCACCCCAGAGTTGGATGTGGGGGACGTGCTCATTTCCCCTTGGGCTTATTTTGCCTGTCTCTGCGGCTGGGCGTCGTCCGACCACACAAACCACCGAGACAGAGAAGCAGGAGGTTATGAAGGGCTGTGGGAGCAGAGTTCAGTGGACTCTGTGGGAAGGATCAGACCCTTCGAATTTGACCTTGAGGTATCTGATTAAGGGAAAGCAAAGATCGCACAGCCAAGACTTGAAATTAGGGAAACTGCCCCCCTCCCCAGCCCCGAGCAAAGGAACCAGTGTAGTGAGGCATCTCCTGCCTAGCAGGGCCCAAGTCACTTTGGCCGGGAACCTCATCGGGGGTCACTGAACTCAGGCTGAGAGTCAAACAGCTGAGGGGAGAGGTTTGGCCTCGACCAGCTTCTCACACCAGGCTCCAGGCCCAGGCTGGGAAACAGGTGCCCAGAATTTTATTCTTTCCCCAACTCAGGCCTGCTCAGCCTCAGCCTAATGCCCTCAACTTCAAGCAAAAGATAGTTGGTGGATGTTAATGTTCCTAACACACACACACACACACACACACACAGAGTTGCCCAGAGCAACAGGAGACAAAA